AAATACTAAATATGGTCAAAGTGTTACACTAATGGCCCAATGGACCACCAATAGACCATCAATGGACTGCACATTTGCCAACCCTGTAATAAACCGGGGATTTAAAAATGCTTGTAAAGAATTGTTTGGCACCAAATTTTTTGAAGCTGAAACTTGGGGCTCATGTAATGTTGATTAAAAATTTACATGATGGTTTAGTAAATGGGAGTAGGGGAATTGTAATTGGATTCTATTCAAAATCGAAAGATAAATACTAATGCAAATGATCTGCTTCTGATCATTAAATTCGGCAAGGACAAGAAACTAATTATTTATAAAACAGAATGGAACCAAATTGAAAATGAGATTGTAATAGCAAGACGCATACAAGTATCTATCAGTCTTCTCTATATCAATGTGTTTATACATACTGTGTTTTTATTCATCTTTATTAATTATATTATTTAATGGTTAATAGGTTCCACTTGTACTTGCACATGCAATCAGGGTTTTTATTCATGAATATCATGAATATCATTAAGGGGTTACGCACTATTAAAACAGCAAAAAATCCCTTAAAAACATGAGTTGATCACTTGATTTTAATAGTGTGTGACCCTGTGTGACCACCTTATGATATTCACGAATACAAACCCTACATGCAATAAGCATTCACAAAAGCCAAGGGCAGACACTAGATTATCTCAAAGTTGATTTAAAAAATATTTTTGTAAAAGGTTTATTATTTTTTTTTTAATCGTTCATTAATTTTAAAAACTATTGTACATATATTTATATATATATTTACCAAAACAGGACAAGCTTATGTAGCACTACTATTGCAGACAACTTCTTTAAAAACTTTGCAAGTTGTAAATTTCTTCAGAGATAAAGTAATAGTTGATAGAAAGGTTCTAGATTTTTATAACCAATTATCAAAAGGTAAAAATAAAAAAAACAATAATAATTAATTGTTAATTTTGATTTTAATAAAACAATAATAATTAATTGTTGATTTTGATTTTAATAAAACAATTTTCTTTAATAAAATAATAGTAATCAATTACCAACTAGTGGGCCATTTCAATGGTAATAGTGATACCAATAATCAGTGTTGTGCCATTTATGATTCCAATAAAATTTCCAAATGTGGTTCCAATGAAGTTAACCAATGAAATTCAATTATAGTTTCATACACACGAATTTTATTGTTAATATCAATTGAAGATCTACATTGGAACATTCCAATAGCACAACACTGCCAATAATAATGAGAATCACGAAAAAATTGATAATAATTCAACTTCATCATCTACACCTGATTCCGTTATATCAAACGATTTTATCTTACGACCTCCACTGATCGGGTAGAAATACAACAATTCATAGATAGTGTTAAGAACAAGCCTATCTATGAAAAAAATCAGAAACTACTTGATTATTTATTACCAAAAACTAAGGTTTGTATATAAAAATAAATGTATTTATAAAATTTAAAATTTGACTTGACTCAATCTATTGGGAACAACACTAGTCCATTTATTTATTCATCCATTTATTTATAATTATTCATAATTCTTTATTTACACAATTCTTTATATTATTTCCTTTTGCAGAGAATTAATTGAATGGTGCAGAACAAACAATTTTCACATGCTCATTCTGGTGATTCAGATTTTTAACCTAATTGGAAGGTTTTTAGTTAAATAATTTATTTGATTACCTTTAAATTTTATCAGGATTTAATTGATAAAGAATTTAATATAAACCTTGAAAAATAAAATTGCATTTAAACAAAAAAAATAATCATAACCAAACTCTAGTGATTGATTCATTGCGATGTTAATAATTAGACAATAAAGGATTTTAGCATTATTTTTTTTTTTTATTTTCTATTTTCATCATCTTTAAACCTTACAAAAACTGTACCTAAACCTGTCTTATGTACTATGTAAAAAGTCATTCTACATACCAATATTGACCATCTTATGGTGTTTTAACTCAGACACTAAAGTGCGTTTTTATTTTATTAATAATATTGTTGCATATTAATCATTATTCATGCAATTAACAAAAATCGAAATCAATATTGTCTGTGTGTTTTAAACTTAGGCACTAAAGACAATTTGGATTTTTTTCTATGAATGTATAATAAAAGAAGAAATATCAGTAATGGTTGTAATAGTTGAAGTAATAATGAAAGAAATATTAATAATAGTTATTATAATTGTGGTTTTAATTTGTAGAAATAAAAGTACCATACTATTATATATACAGTACCTTAGCAAAAGTTTCAGTCACCCTAAATACATCATTTACGCAAAAACGTACATAATAACTGTACAAAAAAATTATATCACTTGCGGCATATATTCTGGAGATCCTGCATTTCTAGATTTTCCAGAACTTAAACAATAAAATAAAAATTCATGATAAGTTTTTTTAATCATTGCTCTAAAGCTTACATGATAACCAGTGTTGTCAGCAGACGCGGACACAGACACGGACTGTCCGGTCCGGGACTGTCCGTGTCTGTGTCCGTCACTTTAAATGTCCCGGACCATTCTTGGACAAAGATATAAATTTTTGCCAACTACCTCTTTCTTAAAGCTTTGGTGAATCTGTAAACACTTTATGGTACAATCAACAAAGCAACAAAGCTCCTGTAGAGTTCCTTTTATTTGCTTTACTTTTACTTTCTTTGGCCAATTGAAGTCAGCTGTATGTTTGCAACAATTACTTTACAATAAAATAATTCAATATGTGATAATGACTTGTATAGGTGGTCAATTAACAAAAAATAAACAAAACATTTACACTTAACAAAAACCAAAAAATTAAACCTTTGCTTTCTTACTAAAACAAATATCTAAAAAAAAATCATTGCTTTAACCACTCTAATAACCAAATGGAGGTTAAACCCTACTGTTTAATTTCCGACCATAAAAGTTTTTTATTAAACAAAAAAAGAAATAATTTGTTTAAATTATGAAAATGTTTATTACAAATGTAAAAAAAAAATTTTATATTAACTTTCTGCCTCTACCCTAAAGCAAGGCTCTGGATTATTAATATAGAATTATTTAATTAATTAAATGCCGAATTATTTGATCCTTTTTGTTTGGAAACCATTTTTTCTTCCTTTCCTCCTCTCCTGATTTTTCAACCCATGCTTACAAAACGTTTTTGAATTGCTTTGGTTTTTGTCCAAGAATGGTCCGGGACATTTAAAGTGACGGACACAGACACGGACAGTCCGTGTCCATGTCCGCGTCCGCTGACAACACTGTTAATATTAATATCATGCATGACATTTAATAAATTTAAATTTATGTCCTTCAATTTTATTATAATTTTGATCTTTTAAATCGGAAATATCATTGAATGCATCACTAGAACTGGAAATTGCATCTTGATCATCATTCATCAAGTCACATGTATTATCTGTTTCAGTTGTGACCGGTGGGTTTCGCTTGTAACATTTACTGATTTTGAATCATTATCTGAAATGTCTGGAAGAGTAAGTTTAGCTACAGTGATCCTTTGATTTTCATTTTGTAATCTATAACAATTAAACCCAGTAATAGAACAATGTAAAGTTATGTTCAATAAAATATATATTACCAAATTAAAAAAATATCTCACATTTTTAAACCATTGTTATTTTGCAAATTTAGAATGAGTAATAGTTTTTTAGTAATAGTATGACAATAGTGGAGCAACATTCCGCAAAGCGAGATGAAATATACAAATTTTAGAAAAGAATAAATCAATTTGTATTAAACCACCAACAAAAATCTTCTTGATAATGGAAAAAGTTACACGTAAAAATGGCATAAATATTGGGGGATAAATCAGTTAAACCACTGGGATAAATACAAGTTTAAGCTCAAATTTACTTTGTAAAATTGAACTTATACCGTACTACCCAGGATTTAACTATTAGTTATACTAGAGATAACATATAAAATTTTTAAAAGCACATTGTTATGTAAGCTTTAGAGCAATTATTAAAGAAATTTTCGCATTGAATTGTTTTCAAAATAATCAAATTCCTTTATTTCCAATAGACAAATTCTAGAAAATCTGGATGTATGAAGGTTTATATACACAATCTTCAGAACTTTCGTTACAAGCCGGTATAATTTTTTGTATGATTATGTATATTTTCGTGTCTGAAAAAATTCCATGTAAATTTCAGAGACAAAAGTTTAGCAAAAGGATATGAATTGGCTTTACAGAAAATTAGCAATAGTATTTTCATGTCTATTTTTTTATTAACAAAGTAATTTGATAAACTTTCAAACGAATCTAAATTTATTTAATTATGTTATGTAATTGTTGAGATACGCAATTATGAAATATTGATTTCACACTTTTCATGATTTTACGTTGGTTCCCTTGTTTTTTAACTGTCTTACAAGAGCAAAGAAATACTTAATCTTTAATGTCAAATATTTAACATATGTTTAATATTAATATTAGGTCAAACTTTTTAATTTAACCATAATGTAAGTCTTTGATTACATGAACCTTTTTAAATTATACGTTAATGCTTATTTATTGTTATTTCACATAAATCAATAAATTAACAAGCTGTCTGTTTTAATAAATCATACCCGCCCAATTCGAAAACAATCAATTCACATGGTTTTTTTGATGACACACGTCAATTAATTACAGTCCTTCAACCGATAAAAAACGTAACCTTGGCTGATTGTTTTTTTAATCTAGGCTGTCTTGCATCAGCAATATATTATATACAAGTGCGACATAGTGATCTCATGGATTGTCAGATTAGTTATGATTTGCACTTCTGTTTACATCTCTCGTAAGACTAAATCTGCTTACGCTTTTCATAAGAGCCTAATTTGCTTGCTCTTTTTCGGCAAATCCTTTTTGCTTATTTTTCCCGGTAAGTCTTTTCCCATATACCTTCGTAATACGTCTTTTAATATATGTTTTGCGAAGGGACTAATGATTAGAGTTGGCCAAACTGCTAATCACAATTTTAATTAGAGGTGGATTTATGGGCTTGCTTCTTCAGCAACGAATTTCGTAAATAAGTTGGTTTTATATAAAAAATGTAATTGTTTTATTTCAGGCGGAAAAATATGTTTGATGCAAAAAAGTTAAGAATTTTATTAAGATATTATTATTAATTCAGAGGTTATTAACATGATGTCTTTAACTCAACTCTCGAAAATTATACATGTATTTATACCTTCGACAGTATTACGATAATATGACCTGCTAGTTTAAAAATGTAAGGTGTAATTTTCTCTCCTTGCTTTCTCTTCAAAATACTTCTGATTGTGCTGTAATTTTTGGGTTCCATAGTAGACCTAATGTAAATTAACCTCGTATTTACTATTTTTATCTAGAGATAATCCTACAAATATCACGATCATACATTACATTGATAATACAATTGTGATGTTAAATGAACATTATTGATCCCTGAAATTCTTGGTAATACCAATGTTCACTTTGTCTGGTTTTGTTGCAGTATGTCCATATATGTGACACATTGTTTGACTATTAGAGCCTCCCATATAAAAGATTCAATATCTGCGAAATATGGTATTGAGATGAGACACATACTCTCTCTTTTGGATAAATTTGATCGTGCTTTATTTGCTCACCCAAATCTATTTGCCCACTCTTATGAAACATTAGGTTGAGAGCATAGTGTTGATGCCCATTAAATTCAAGGGCCAGTTGCAATTCTTTGTTGTATCCATCAAAACGCACTCCTTGTAAAAACTTTGGTGCGCGAAGTGGGAACTTTCTTCCTAACAGATCTTCAAATTTATACCTCGACGTATGTTCCCCTTTTGAATGAGGACAAAGAGGACACCAATAGTGTTTCTTCGTAACAACTTCAATTAATCTCTACCCATAAGTGGTTTCTATCGCACGAGAATAACAAATTTGTAGTACCAGTTTGGACATGAACTCCCCCCCCCCGCATTTTTCAGCATAAATTTGAGCTTCAGTAAGGTTTGTCATGTTTACACTTATATATTAGAAAAAAGACATGTGTGCGTTCCAATTTGGAACGCAGATCACTTTTGTCATAAATATAATTGAATTGGTATCAGAATGAAATATTATTATATATACCACTTTGATGAAATTAAGCCATCAAAAAGAGCTTTTTAGATGACAATGATAGTCCAAAGTGGCCTTTCTTTATTGTAGTAAGCGGGAGATCAAACACTGGGAAAACCAATATGATTTTAAAACGATATGAAAATTGGAAAAAAGAAAATCAGCGAACGTTTTATACGTTGCAATGATCTTATACTTTTGGGGCATCGGTATCACGCCCATCACCAAAAAAATGCACATAAGTATCACAAATACCAAAGCCTTTTGCAGATTCCAAAAGGTGAATTAAATGATTGATATGACTGTGGACACCTCTATCAGATACCTTAATAGTAATGATGAAGGTAAGAATTTACTTTAAAATTTAAAAATGACACCGCCTACCTCATATCATAAAAAAGCAAAGGTATGTTTGACTGTTTGATTTGGCGGTGACATATGGGGGACAATTGCAGATATTTTCAAAAACAAAGGTAAACCCTTTAATATGCGGTCCTTTTTTTTTCCATATAATGATAATAAAAAGTTTTCCCATTTATGGACTGTAATAATAATAATGATAATAAATAATTCTCCTTTTTTATGTTTTAATGTATATCACGGTTTCACAAAACTGTGCATAATGAAAAGGGTCCTTTTCACATGACTCAAAACGATTTGCGATCTAATTCCCTTCTTCTATTCTTGCTTTATAAAACAGTAATGGCTTCTAATTTTTTTTGTCGTGACGAAGAAGGTTATGTAAGTAATAATAATCCAAAGCTTTTAATTAAGTAATTTTTTAAAAGAATTTAACCAAACTCATTTTCCTTAAAGGGCCCTTGGAGACCAACTCAAGAAACTCCAGATTTTACTTTATGCTTTGAGGATGGGTAATTCACTCATTCACTCATTCATTTGTTCACTCATTCATTCATTCATTCGATATAATCAATAAAACTTTTCATTAATGCTTATTAATATTTTTACATTAGTGTTTTAATTTTGCCCATAAACTTATTGTTTATAATTTGCGGTTCCATCGAATTATATCGATTATCAAAAAATCACAGCATTATTCCATATGAAGAATTTCAAAAATGGCATTATATGAAACTGGTACTTTCAAAAAATCCTCATTATTATTATTAAAATAAAAACTTAAAGTTCTTCTTTATTTCAGGCATGCTTATCATTGTTGATCACCTTGAGCCTAGTCTTATTTGGAATTTCAATACTTGATGTTAATTTACATCTTCTAGACATAATAGTCTTTTCATCATTTATTAATGTATTGGCCATGGTAAAATATTTTATAATTATAAAAGTTCAAAATTAATTTATTTAAATTTATTAATGCTTAATGATTTATTTAGATATTGGCTTTAATGCTTCATCAAAAATCATACAAAAATAGTTATGTAGCATCATTTGTTTTATTGTTGTACTGGCCAATTTATTTAATTGTTGGATTGATAAAATTGAGAACTTTCATCAACAAGGATTATCAATTTTCAAATCCTGTCTTGATAATTTCATTTGTATCAACATTGGTTTTGGCATTAATTATATTTATCTTGGATCTTATTCCTAGGCCAAGGAGTGAATATTTACTCATTAATGAAGATAACGTAGTTAAATTTAGATTTATACTTAATTTATATATATAAATGATTTTTATTAAACCAACAACTATTGTTAATTAAACAGCAAAGTTGTCCAGAGTCAAGATCAAATATTTATTCACGAATTACCTTTTACTGGATGACTCCACTTATGAAACTTGGCCATGAAAAATATTTAACAATGGATGATTTATGGTAAAATAACATTATTTTATATTTTATTGTAATATATAAAAATCAACTTTTTAATTAATATTCCTAAACATTTAGGAACTTGAATTACGATGATCAATCCCATAGAATATCTCAAAAATTTGAGCAAATTTGGAAAAAAGAATTAACCAAAAAAAAGTAAAAATTATTTTCAATCGAATCATTTGGTTTAAAAAATTTTATAAATTAATAATTACTCAAAAACCATATACTAATTTATTATATCAATAGTCCGTCTTTGTTAAAGGCTTGTGCAATAACTTTTGGTGGCCCATTTGCTTTTGCAGCGGTATATATTAATCTTACTAATTGTCACATAAATTATTATCATCATTATCATTTAATAAATAATCTTTTCTTCATATACCTTGTTCATTTAAAGATATTTAAAGCAATACAGGATTGCTTGAACTTCGTGCAACCTTTACTTTTAAGAGAATTGATAATTTTTGTCAAAAGTTATGATACAAATGATCCATTACCTCCATATAGAGGTTATTGTATTGCAGGTATAATAATATAAATATGCCTGGAATTTTATTTTATACACATATATAATTTACATACACATATTGATTGATCAAAAAAAATTTTTTTTGAATTTTAGTATTAATGTTTTTAACAGCTTTACTTCAGACTGTGTTTTTACATCAATATTTTCAATTATGTTTTACAACTGGAATGAGGGTAGCCTTGAGTGATTTTTTTTTTGGATTTTTATTTTTTGTTTACAAGATTATAATAAATAACCCCTTGATAATAATAATACAAAAAATAGGTCAGAGCTGGTCTGATATCTGCAATTTATCAAAAATCACTTAATCTTTCAAACAGCGCTCGTCAAAAATCTACAGTTGGAGAAATTGTAAACCGTATGTTTTTTTATTTTAAAAATAAGCATACAAATTGTTTCATTGGGCTTTTGTAATTAACAAACATGTAATATACACATACATATTAAGATATGAGTGTGGACGCACAAAGATTTATGGATCTATGCACATACCTACACATAATTTGGTCAGGTCCTTTACAAATATTCTTGGCCTTATACCTCTTATATGAAACAATGGGTGCTAGTATTTTTGCCGGTGTTGGTGTTATGTTAATGATGTTGCCTGTTAATGCATTTCTTGCTGGAAAAATGAGAACTCTACAAAAGAAACAAATGGTTAATAAAGATGAAAGAATCAGATTAATGGTAAATTCCTATTATAATTATTCTTGTGAATTTCACCGGATTTGATTGTGTATCCTAAATTCTTATATTTTAATTTATCAAGAATGAAATACTTAATGGAATCAAAGTTATTAAACTTTATGCTTGGGAATCCGCTTTTTTGAAAAAGGTACAAATTTTTACTTTGGAAATTTTTAATGACAAAATTAGTTATTCGTGTATAGTATTGTAAGCTTTTCTCCTAATATTATTTTTATAAGATCTTTCATGTTAGAAATGATTTGGAGTTAGAAACTTTGAAAAAATTGGGATATCTTAGCTCTTTACAAGTTTTTACATGGTCATCTACAGTAAGCAAACATAATAACAATCAACCTATTGCATAATTTTTAACTGATCCGGATTCTTCTTCCACATATACAAATCCATTTATATTATCATTAGCCTTTCCTTGTTTCATTTGCGGCATTTGCTGTTTATGCATTTGTCTCAAATCAACCATTAACTTATGAGGTTGTGTTTGTCGCTTTGACGTTATTCAATTTACTTCAATTTCCTCTTTCCGTTTTCCCGAGCGTAATTTCTTCTACTGTGGAGGCGTCTGTTGCTTTAAACCGCATGGAAAATTTTTTGAAGGCTGATGAACTTGATCCTAAAGCTGTAATTCGTACCAAGCAATTTGATGCTTCGTCCGGCAATAGAGTTGAAATGGTTTCGGTAAAAAATGGCATTTTCAGTTGGTCAAAAGTATTGGACCCTGTTTTAGAAAATATTGATCTCAGTGTTAAAATTGGAGAATTGTGCGCTATTGTTGGAAGAGTTGGTAAGATTTTGTTACAATATTAAAAAAAAAAATAAATTTAATTTTTTAATTTAAATAAAAGTTTCCGATTAATTTTTTGTCTCAATAGGCTCTGGAAAAACTTCACTATTATCTGCCTTGTTAGGTGAAACAGAAAAAGTAAATGGAGAAGTAGTAGTGAGAGGAAGTGTAGCATATGTTCCACAATCAGGTACAATTTTCTTATCTAATGTTCTACTACTATATAATATATAATATCATTACTTCAATAAATAAAATTTTAAAAAATAAAAGCATGGATTATGAACGCAACACTTAGAGATAATATCACATTTGGTTATAAGTATGAGCCTGATTTTTATGATGGTAATATAAGTTTTTTAATTGCGAGAAAAATAATATACACATATATTTTTAAGCATATATTAATTCAATCATTCGGGGGGGTTGACAGAGGTTATTGAATCTTGTAGTTTAAAATCAGACATCGCAATTCTTCCCGGTGGTGATTTAACTGAAATTGGTGAACGAGGTATTAATCTTTCAGGTGGACAAAAGGCAAGAGTTGCTTTAGCTCGTGCAGTTTATTCTCGTGCTGATATATATTTATTAGGTAAAAAACCAATCGATTATTTTAATTTAATTGGACATCATCATAATTGAAAAATAATAAAAATATTCATTTTTATTCAAATAGATGATACGCTATCAGCTGTTGATGCACATGTTGGTATGTTTTTTTTTAAAAAAAAAAAAAAATCACACACACACACACACATATGTATATTGTAACTTATTATTATATCTTTTTTAAAGGCAAGCATATATTTGAAAAGGTCATAGGCTCCAATGGTTTATTAAGGAAAAAAACACGAATTTTTGTTACTCACGGAATACATTATCTTTCTCAAACCGATTTTATTGTGATGTTACGTGAGGGAAAGATTACCGAACAAGGAAATTTTGAGTCTTTAATGAAACAAAAATTGGAATTATATAATTTGATTAGCGAATTTGGTCAAGAAGAAATTGTCGAAGAAGAAGAAGTATCAAGTCCTAGCACCATAGAGACTCATGAAATTGGTAAACAAAGTCACGTTCAAAAACTGGAAGAAACCAGTCAAAGTCCCAATGAAAGAAGAGTCAGCGTTGCAAGCATTCACCGTCGACCATCTCTTATTACTGTTAGAAACAAAAAACAAGATTTAGAAACCAATAAAGATGCCATTATTGTCAAAGAAGAAGCTGCTAAAGGAAGTGTCCAGTGGTCGGTTTATAAAGCATATGCTGAATCTTGCTCGACTCCTGCTGTAGTTTTCTATATTACTATGTTGATTATTGCTCAAGGCGCTCAAATCGGTATGCGTGATAACTTTTTTTTGATAAGGATTTTAATGATTGATTTTTTAGTTTTTGTGTATATATAAAATATGAAATTTAAATTTATTTTTATAATTTTAATATGATAGGAACCAATGTATTTTTAAAATATTGGAGTTCTCAAAATGACAATGACAATGTATTAATATATCTGGGATTTTATGGTATGATTGGGCTATTGTATTCTGTCTTGACAATCATTCAAACCATTATACTTTTGGTATTTTGCACTATTCGGTAGGTTATAATCAAGATTTTTGAAATTTATAAATTATAAAGAACATCCATAGTCTAATACATATTTTCTTTTTTAAAAAAAAAAAAAAATAGAGCTGCACGAAAGTTACATGAAGATATGTTGAATAGTGTTGTTAGGTAAATACTTCAAATTTTATAATTTGTGTTATTATTATCAATCTTTCTATATATTATTTCCTTGTCTAAATAAATTTAATTGTCTTTTTATTATTATAGGTCTCCAACATCATTTTTTGTGAGTATTAATATTATCAATAAAATTTTAAATTAACTGAAACATTATTAATTCTTGTAATTTCTCTAATGTTATTTTTTAAGGATACAACTCCATTAGGACGTATTTTGAATAGATTTAGCAAAGATCAGTACACTATAGATGAAGTTTTGCCAAGAACATTTGCGGGATATTTTAGAACAATATTTTATGTATTGGCAACTATTTTAGTTATTGCATTCTCTACACCATTGTTTATTATTGTTATTATTCCAATGAGTAAGTTTTAATCAGATATCACCTTATTATTTTTCCTATCATTTTCTTAAAAATTATTATTTTTAACTTAAATATTGTTGGAATATATTTTATAAATTAGTATTTGTATATCGGTATATCCAAGTTTACTATTTATCTACATCAAGAGAATTAAAAAGATTAGATTCAGTAACAAGATCTCCCATTTACGCACATTTTCAAGAAACATTAGGCGGCGTAACTACTATAAGAGCTTATCAGCAAACTGATAGATTTATTGAAGAAAATGAAAGTAGACTAGATGAAAATCAAAAGGCCTATTTTCCATCTATATCATGTAATAGATGGTTGGCTGTTAGATTAGAATTTTTGGGTAAATAAATATTATTATCATTATTTTTTCAAGTTATTTATTTTCAGAGTAATGAATGCCAGTTAATTTGATCTTTTTTTTTTAGGTTCATTGATAATATTTTCCGCATCAATTTTAGCTGTTGTCACTTTATTAACTACAGGAAATCTTGATGCAGGTCTTGTTGGATTGTCTGTAACTTATGCCCTTAGTGTTACTCAAGCTTTAAATTGGGCAGTTAGACAATTTTGTGAGATTGAGGTAAGGTTTTTTGTGAACTTTTTTTTTTTAAAATTAAAATTATTGAAAATATGATTATTTTCTTTTGCAAAATATAGACCAATATAGTATCCGTTGAAAGAGTTAAAGAGGTAATATTTTATTATTGTGTTTATTACAAGATTACATTAGTTATAAGATTGCTGTTTTATTTAATCTAATTTGATTTGGTTTAATTAAAACCTTGTAGTATATTGAATTACCAAGTGAAGCACCTCTTATTATTCACGATAATAGACCCGCACCAACTTGGCCTCACAGTGGATTAATTGAATATAATGATTACTCGACTCGTTATCGCGAAGGACTTGAACTAGTGTTAAAAGTTAGTATTGAGCTTTATTTTTAAAAACAAAATAATAAATAATAATAATAATATATAAATTATAATCTGCAATTTGATTGTTATTCATTCCTCTTTCCATTTAAAAGGGAGTTACATTTAAAATACAACCCAAAGAAAAAATTGGCATAGTTGGCAGAACAGGCGCAGGGAAATCAAGTTTAACATTAAGTTTGTTTAGATTGATAGAAGCTGTTGATGGTGAAATTATAGTGGTATGTATAATCAATTTTATTGATTTTTGGTCGGTTTTTAGTTGCACTGTTTCAAATTTTGTTTGATTGTCATTATCATCATCATTATCATAATCATTATTAGGATGGTGTTAACATATCAAAAATTGGATTATATGACTTACGTTCACGTCTTACGATCATTCCACAAGATCCTATTCTTTTTGAAGGTAATTTATTTAATTTCTCATGTTATCTCGTATTTAATTGTTTTATATGCAAATTATATTAATAATTGTATTAAAAAAGGTACCGTTGCTTTTAATCTTGATCCATTTGACGCACACGATGACGTTGAGATTTGGCAAGTGCTTCAAAGTGCACATTTAAAAGATTATATTTTGAAGTTGGAGAATAAGTTACATGCCAAAGTTTTAGAAGGTGGCAATAACTTTAGTCAAGGGCAAAGACAACTGTTATGTTTAGCAAGAGCTTTGTTGAGGTAATTTGAATTATTGTTAAATTAGGTGTGTACGTATAAATATAAATATTAACATTAGTTATTTGAAATTATAGGAGGTCGCCTGTTATTGTGTTGGATGAAGGTTTGTAGAAAAAAAAGCTTTGACTTGATTTGGCTATAAAAAATCAATATAATAAACGCGTCTCTTTTTTTTATAGCCACTGCAAGTGTTGACGTAGAAACTGATTACAATATACAAAACACTATTCGTAGTGAATTTAACTGGGCAACTTTATTATGTATTGCTCATAGACTAAGAACAATTATTGATTACGATAAGGTAAATTAATTTGATTTATAATATTTTTTAAAAAAATTCTCGATTAATACAATCTTTTTTAAAAAATCGTTATTATTTTAAAGGTTTTGGTACTCGGTAAGTTTATTTACAATCTTTTTTTAAAGATAATTTTTACCTTTGACTGTGTGTATATATATATTTACGATAATTCAATTTTCTATAGAACAAGGAAAAGTTGCAGAATTTGACACGCCTTATAATTTATTACAAAAACAAGACAGTTTATTTAGGAAACTTTGCGAGGAAAGCAATGAACTTGGTTATTTGCTTGAAGCCGCAACTAAAAAGTTTTCTTCAAAATCATAAAAAAAAAAATACGTGATAAATATTATTTATTATTTGTTATCTAAAAAGAAATTTATAATATATTAAAATATATTCAATAATATCTAATATCTAATCCTTTTTATCCTTATGAGGATTGATGTGTGATGATGATAATTACCATTATATGAAATAATACTTAAATGTGATAATTTAACTTGTTGCTTTATATACGATATATTTGAGAGATATATTCAACTCCTCTCTGATTTATTTGTTTAATCCCTTTTATCTTTTCTGTGACTCCTATGCTTCTTGTGTTTTTTCTTTTCCCTTTCTCGTTCTTTATCTCGTTCTTTATCTCGTTCTTTATCTCGTTCTTTTTCTCGTTCTCTACCTTTATCCTTTTTACGTTTCTTTGATATTTTTTGTTCGTCAGTTGTACGAACTGCAGATTTCTTTAAATTAGGATGTATGCTTTCTTCAGTTTTTATTTCTACTTTTCTTTCATCTTTTGGAATATTCACTGCACCTATTATTTCAGTATCACCTAGCTCCACCTCACCAATAGATAAATGTCCGGAGCTTTTCGAAATCATTATTTTTAATTTAATCAAAGCCAGTAAAATAAAAAATTTCTTTTATGATGATTATGAAAAACAAACCTTTTAAACCCCAGTCCTTTAGTTACCTCTTTGATATCTTCTTCTTCGCCAATACCACCGCCATCGTCATCGTAGCCTTCTTGTTCTCTTTTTAAAACAGTTTTAAGTTCTTGTTGTGATACATTTCCTGTGATTTTTCTTTTTTTACCGCCTCCCCTATTAAACAAACCAACCAGACATGTTAATTTTTAAGTTATAACAATCTATTCAATTGGTCCATTGATTTGATTATTATCCTTTTCTTACAATAATTCGGCCATTGCTTCTGCTTCAGCCTCTTTGATTGATCTGATTTCTTCTTTACGTGCCTGATCATTTTTTGATTCTTTCGAGTACCATGTCAGATCTTTACCTTGTTGCCATCTAAGAAAAATCAATTTATTAAATTTCATAATATTATTTTAACTAATTATTTAAAATCGATTAATAACTAATTACCTTCCTACAGGCGCATGAAGGGAATGACCAAGATAATTTTCTCTATGTTTGTCTGTTTTGACATCTCTGATTAAAATATACAAAAATTTTATTACCGGAGAAGAAAAAAGTTGTTGTTTTTGACCTTAACTCGAATCAAAATACTTACTCCCCTAAGAAAGGAAAAAATTACAATTTTTAAAATTTTGACATTAATAATTCCTGAAAAATGCAAGTAACAGAAAAACTTACAGTTAAATTGATCCTAGTTTTTCAATTGGTTGAGGAGAAAAACACAATTTATTATTTATTTACCGATTAGCAATAATAAGTCCAAGGAACAAAAATAAACTTTATCTTACCCTTCCTCCTCTAACACCTCCTCGGGGTGGATGATACATGGCTAATGTCTATATTGATTAATAAATATAGCCTCAAAATTAAAAAAGTAAATAAAATTGACTAGCAAAAATAATGAATTTTGTAGGATTGAAAAATAACCAAATAGATTTTATATTAAAAAATTCAATATTAATATGAAAATTAGAACATTTTGTGATTGTTATTGTCCAATCAACATTAAATGGGTGCAAGTCACATTTTCATCTACTCAGGTTACACCAGCAGACCTGTTCTTTATTTTGATCGAATAGAAATGTGACCATACTAGATTGTTTTTTCCCCATCATCTAAATTATATATATCATATAAAATGTAAGTTTTTGTTAATAAATACTATAATTTATTCTGATATAAAGTAAAAACCAACCTGGGCATCATGTGAAACAACCAACAGTTGTTATACGATTGTAATTTTTCTGAATTGTTAAAATCAAATTTTGGTAAAGAGAAGTCGATTAATCAAATCAAATTGCATTGATTAAATTAACTTCTACTTGAAATGATACCTGTATCAAAAAAAAATGAAAATTAAACTAATACTAAACATGTTTTTTAATCTTAATAAAAAAAAAAAAATGCTTAGAATGTTCCAAAGTAGATTTTATTATTAATTTCACTATTTGTTTAAAAGCTATTTTTTGCATCATTGCCAAATAATTGAAATCACAATCCATCCGAGAAAAAAATTCACAGAAAAAAATTTAATGTAGAATGTCTTAAAAAAGCTCGCCCCAACTGGGAAAGAATTGATGCGTTTAAAAACATTATTATTATTATGTTAAAGTAGAAATTTTAAGAAATTTGATGTTTCCTTTCCATAGGATCATAAATAGTACCTACCACGCTCAATTTTGAGGTTCGTTGTGTAACTAGTACAAATTTGGAAAAAAATTTCAATCAAAATAACAGTCCAAACATCGAATTTTATACACTGGTCACGACTATCTAATATCACAGTAGCATTAAGGCTGTAATAATTTACGGCTGAAATCCAATCGCGCGCAACTCAATCGACTTGAAAATTTTCTAGTCGCAGCAGATATAAAATTTTTAGTTGCAACTACAACTAGTCGGCTAGCAACACTAAAAACGACGACAACATCAAAATAAATGATATCCCGCTCAGATGAGAGTTACAGCTGCAAAAATCGAAAGAAAAAGATTACGAAGACAAAGACAACTCCAACAACAATGACAACAGGGAAGACGACAACAACAACCAGAACGGCAACCCAGCAACAGTGGTGACAATGGTGACAATGGTGATGATGAAGGCAAAGAAGAAGATGACGAGGCAGAAGACAGCAATAATGGTGATGACAGTGGTAACAGTGATAACGACGATATGGACATAAATTATATTTTTATATACAGATAAATTATATTTTTTGATTATATATATAAGCCCAAAAGTTTCAGAGAATAGAGCTTTGTAAAATCTTATTTCCGATTGTACAAAAATACAGAATTGGAATTTATTGAATTGTGGAAACAAATTTTAGATAAAATTACGCAAAATTGTGCACAATAAATACATGAAAAATTTATATAACTAACGGTTTTAATACGAAATGTAAATATATGCTAACGCTTAACTTATATTACTAGATTCCAAAATCTTCTCGAACGATTTGATCCCTATTACCATTAACAATAGAAGGGTAAATTAATTAAATTCATTGATTTAATAATATACCATATTAACATTAGGAAAATTCAAACTTGATGATACAACTGCCCATTGTGTTTTAGATTTACCCTTAATATCAATATAAATTATTTTAGTGATTCTCCCTAAATGCGACTCGCCGGAAAATCAATCATTACGTGCATTTAGAGAAGGATTGCATTTATAGAGAGTAAAATATGTAGAGGTTTTATAATTTAGAACTATATCAGGCTTGCATTCAGATGAAGTAAAACATAGTAAATGCATTTGACGAGGTTGCACTTAGAGAAAGTTCACTGTATTTTAATAATAAAAAAAGCCTTTAAGTGGGATCATGTGACATTTAATATGATCAACAGTGGCCAATTATTTTGGAGTTCAATTTTAAAAAATATGCTACATATGTAAGATGCGTAAAAATAAACAATTATACCAAAACCAAAAAAAACCACTTATTATTATATACAAATTTTAGTTTTTTTAACTTAAAGCTCAAAAATATTTTCAAATAACTAATTAACATATAGGAAACACTAAATATACTCTTATAGACTCAATATATATGCTAATAAGATGATGATATTAATGATGTTCTAAAACAAGCAATAAACAACAACAACCTTGGCTCTACTATTTTCATTAACATACAACAATACCTTACTTGGGCTACCCTGCATTAATTGTGAAGATAAATTTATAAATAACAAAAGATATGAAATATTCAATGTTGGTTTCTATGAGAATAACAATTAGGTGTCTTATGTGTGATAGCATTGCTGAATATTCTGATGAACCTCTTAATTCAGGTTTTAATTTGTTAGCTGCAGGCTCAAGTTTGGTAGTTGGATTGAATCGTCAACAAAATGAGACCTTCCTTGCATCAATGGGAATAACTAACCAAATATGAAAAAAAAACATTTCATAACAACCAGAAAAGATTTTTCCAAAATTTGACTACAGAAGCAGAGGAGAGTGCAAAAGACACACCATGGAATGTATAAATCACATCAAATCTCTTGATCGGAATATCCTTTCTGTTAGTTTTGATACTTCATGGTCACATGTAAGGAATGCAAATCAAGCTAGTGGAGAATTTATATTTCAAGGAAATCATCTTGATAATTATATATTTTTTATTAGATTAAGAAATAAAATAACAGAGAAATAAATAAACTTGCAATATACTTACCTGATTTATAGATTACAATCACAAGCCAGTTATTGCCTATCATGTTGTTGAAAATCTAGAATCATCAGGAATGAAACTGGAGATTCTAAGACCCTTCACCAAGAAAATTTTGATAAATCATCCAAACAGAAGGAACATGCAATATTAATTGCTATTCTAAATAAAATTACACCAATACTTGACCAACATGATATGCTTTTAGATATAT